ATTCACAGTACTAAATGCATGTAAAGTGTCATAAAGTTTTTATTATCTACAAGCACAATATATAAGTATTCATGATAATAATAATGTATATTCATGAAGAAAAACACTTATGCAGAAAATAGATTCAGCAACAAAAATTTACTTGAATGAAATTTTTTTTTTTTTTGTCTTTTGTCTTTTGTCTTTTTCCGTGTCCGGCAACGGATCGCAACCCTCAATGTTGCCCCCGAACCGGACTGGGGACCGGCAACGGGATTGCAACCCTCAGCGTTGCCCCCGCGCCTCACTCAGCCAGTGAGTGGGAACCGGTCTGTATGTGGGATCCGAACCCTTGGGCGGGAGCGCCGCCGCGCTTCCCAAGCGGCACACTTATCCAGTGCGCCACCGGGCCGGCCCTTTAATGAAAATTTTAAAAATTATTTTATGTGATAAATATTTTATAGTTTTTGAGCTAAAGTTCAAATGCTTACAAGTTTATATTTGTACTTAAGAAGACACTAAAAAAATTCACACTCAGCAGATTTATGATTTGTATAGCTTTTTTTTCTTTCTCTGGTAGTGTCACTGGATTTATTATCTTTGGTTTTGTTTGACCCCAAAGTTTATGCAACAACTTCTTGATGGTTTATTTTAATAGCCTATCATGGAGTAATCATCCATAGATTTAGCTAAATGTTGTTGAATACATTTTGTTTTCTCACCTATTATAAAAATGGTTCCTAGGTTTACTGACTTTGCAAAGTAGCTCTTGTCTTTTCTTTCCGTAGAGACATAGTTCATTCTTTAAGATGTCTTTAATATTAGTACTTTGTAAGTTAATGAACTCTGTGATCCCGTTTACAATTTCATGGTATGATAATACCCCCTGTTGTCTCTCAGCTTTTATCTTTGAAGATGGAAAAAATATATATATTATTTTAGCATGCCTTGAATTGCAGTCATTTCCTCCTTCCCCTCAGCATCCTTGATTATTTGAGTAGACTTTGCCATCTTCAAAGAATAATTATAACATTAATAGCTAATATTTATTGAATACTTAATATATACCAGAATGTACTAAGCATTTTATTAACCATCACCACAATTACGAGAGGAAGGTATTATCTTTTTCTTTAATGTATATGTGAGGCAATGGATGTTCAGGAGAAGTAAACTCTTTGCCTATGGCCTCCCAGCTTGTAAATGGTGCAACCAAGATTTGGGCCCTGATCAACTTCACTCCAGGACCTGAGCTAATAACCACTATTCTATATGGGAAAGTGAAGGGTCACAGAAGCCAAAGTGGTGTTTTGCTTTGTTTTGTTTTGCTTTGTTTTGTTTTGCTTTTTTTCCCAAGAAGATAGTAGTGGCAAACTATGTCAGATGTTGCTAATAAGCTATGTAAAATAAACAAATAGACTTGGCCACAGATAAGACCTAGGACATCACAAGAGATGTAATGGTACCCACAGCTATGTCTGAGATGTAAGGTCCTTTGCAAAAATCTGTGTGTTTTATGAATCTGGGTTCTACCTTCTCTAGAGAATCACCTTAGACATTGAGTGGTGAAGTGTACATTGTTACCTTGCCTATACTCCTCCAAAATACTTTTAGAAGCTATTAAGTACATTTTTGTACAAAGTTTCTATACGATCAAGCCAGGGTGACCAGAGTTTGTAGTTTTATAGGATGCTATAAAGTGGCACGTATCCAAGGCAAGTGTTATTTCTTATGCAATTTTTAAATTTCCTTGAGTCTAAGCACACTAAGGATGTACCAGGTTCCACAAGTCTCCAAATGACTAATTTTTGAACTCTTTAGTATGCTCATATGGGATGAAACAGGTTACCTCTGAGTTTAATCACCTTTCATCGAAAGCTTAATGGTTCTTCACTAAAACTCTGAGTTACTAAGGAAGATCCAGAAAAGCATCTCCTACTTATTCTCAGTACAGGTTTTTTGGTTTTAGTTTTGTTTTCTTGGGAACTGATGTCATGGAATCTCAATATACTCTTTATGCATAGTATAATGCTGGGCATATAGCAAGCACTCAATAAACCTTTGTTTAGTTGTTTTGGTTCCGTGATCTCTCAGAGTTTGGGAAAAAAAGCAAAACAAAACAAAGCAAAACAAAACAAAGCAAAACACCACTTTGGCTTCTGTGACCCTTCACTTTCCCATATAGAATAGTGGTTATTAGCTCAGGTCCTGGAGTGAAGTTGATCAGGGCCCAAATCTTGGTTGCACCATTTACAAGCTGGGAGGCCATAGGCAAAGAGTTTACTTCTCCTGAACATCCGTTGCCTCACATATACATTAAAGAAAAAGATAATACCTTCCTCTCGTAATTGTGGTGATGGTTAATAAAATGCTTAGTACATTCTGGTATATATTAAGTATTCAATAAATATTAGCTATTAATGTTATAATTATTCTTTTTCTATTACCTCTCCCTTCTCAGTTCTTTCTCTGTTTTTATTTCATTTTAGCATTTATTCATATGTATTTATGGGGTACATTGTGCTGTTTCAATACATGCATATGCTGTACAATGATTCACTTAGAATAGAGAGCATAGCTTTGTACACATTAATCCACCAATTCCCCTCCTCCTCCCCACCCCTTTGTAGATTGCTGTTCCTTTTTTTGGTTCATTAAAAGTGAGTGATCCTTAGGGTGTGCCGTGGACCTTCATGGCTCCTCAGTCAATGTACTCTCCATACTCCTCAGTCAATGGACTCTCCCTGGGTGGTACTTCCACTCCTTTTATTTCACTGACTACTCCCAGATCTATACAGTACGGAGCTCATCAGCTTCCCCCAATCCTTCTTTTCTCTTTTTCATGGAATGTCACCACCATGTATTTGGGCAAGTTAGAAACTTGGCAAAATGCTCGACACCTCTCTCTTTCTCACCACCTACCCTCTTATTCAGCCATAGCAAGCTTTGTCTATTCACTTCCTACTTAAGTCAGTAATCCTACTTTTTTCTGTCCCATTGGCCACAGTTCTACAACAGGCCATCTTCTTCCCTTGCCTAGTAACTACACCAATCTAAATTATATACCTGAAATCACCCCTTATCTCCTTTTAATTCATTTTTCACACAGTATCCAGTGTCATATCTGAAGAGATAAAAGTCTGATCACAAAAGTTCCATTTGTAATACCTGTATTCAATGACAGTCTTCTCTTAGGATAATGTCCTTGAGGACATGTTGTTAGCAATTATAAAACAAAACAGAGAAATAGTTTCTCGTATTAAAATTATATAAGAAATGATAATGTTGACGTACCCACTATTTTAATATGTTTAAAGATTGAACAATGTTCTTTTGGATTTTGGGCTGTTCTTGAATAAGCTTTTGAAGCATTCACTTACATGCTTTTGTCAAATTATGTCAAAGTGGTTACAATATAGGAAGCTGTTTCACTGACTCAGCCTTAACTGAACTCATGTTTTGTTTTGTTTTTTTTCCCCTAGAGAACTGTCAATAATACCTATTTATTTGAAATGGATATAATTTTACATTTTTTTTATTTAATGACAGATAAAAAATGAACCTTAAATATTATGTCACTAGCACATCTATAAAATGATTAAATTAACAAATTGTGTTATTTTGCATTTATTTGCTTTTTCCATCAGGTCATCTCTGAATTTAAATCAAAAAGTCTTTTTATATTTTCAGTACCTTTGTTCTCCTAAGTTAAATGAATAATTTTGGAAAATATCATTAAATGTGATTTAGAAATGGTGAATTGAGAATTTGCAAAACTTTATGTTGGCAACATGCTCATTTGTGTTAATATTGTACAATAATAGCAAAGAAACTAGTGATTGGCTGCTTCCATTTGCTGGACCTATTTTGAGCACTGCTTGGTGCTAGGCAGTATATGGAGCACTGGGACCACAGAGATGAAACATAGATAGTTCTGATCTCAAGGACCACATGGTGTACTGTAGGCACCAAACATGACCATAAATTATGAACTATTTCTGCTTGTAGAATAAGAAATCTTTGTCTCTTCTTTCTCATATGCCATTTGATTCCAGAAACCCGTCCCCTTTGCCCTTATGCTGCATGAACCATATAAATCCATCTCCAAGGAAGTGGTAGTGGCTATAAGTGTGAGCGCTGTGGCCAGAAACATTATAGTGCAAATACCAGCTCTATTCGTTAGTTACTAGCTGTTGTAGTTAACTATTGCTGTGTAACAAACCACCTCAACACATCATATCTTAAAACAGCAATTATTTTTCATTGTTCAGGTGCATGATGATTGGCTTGTAACATGACTGATCTAGGCCGGGCTCAGCTGGGTCCTCTGCTTTATGCTGGGGCTATTCTGTTTCTCATTTCAGGTCTGTGGGTTCCTGGGTAGGTCTGTCCCATACTTGCTCATTCTGGGGAATAGGCCGAATGAACAGCAGCTATTCAGGAGAAACACTTCCCACTTCCCATGGTGGAAGTGCATTTGGGTTGGAACTGGCATGCTTCAATTCCACACACACGTTATTGGCCAAAGCAAATCACTTGATCAAGCCCAAAGTCAAGGGGTAGGAAAACACACTTTGTACATGACAGGGTAAGGGTATGAATGCAGGGTAGTGTAAAGTATTGGGGTAAACAATCTAATCTACCACACTAGTTGTGTGATGTTGAACAAGTCATTCAACACTTCTAGGCTTCTATTTTCTTATTTGTAAAATGGAGGTAATGATTGAATCTGTATCATAGAATTGTTACAAGGATTAAATAGGATAACATATGCAAAGTTCTTAGAATAAGTGTCTGAACATAGTAAGGAGACAATATATTTTAGCAAATGATGAGGGTTGAGTCCTAACACTAGACACAAGTTTTGGGGGTGACCCAAGAGACTGGACTTATAATTAAAGCAGTTATTCTTGATCTACAGTAAACTGTCTACTCTCTAATGTGTGTCTGTTCCCTACCAAGGTATTAAGTGCAACATTGTAAGGGTCCAGATGTAAACCATCTGCTCTTGTTCTCCTTAGGTATGTTTCACAGAATACCAGGGCCTATTACCCATCCTCATTTTTCCAACTAGTGGTATTGTGGAGCCTTAGTCATCAGTTGTTATCAAAGTGGATTTCTGTGCAGACCAGCCAGGAATTGTAAATGAAGTGGCAAAGTGAATGTATGGTTCTTAATTCTAATGTAGATCCCAATAATCTCCTGTTTCAATCTTCAGATGTGCCTTTGTGTTAGCTCCTTTGTTTTTAAATTTAGCATTCATTTATTGAGTCTCTACTATATGCCAAGAACTAGGGTATGGTCTCAGAAAAGGGAAGAGATAGAGGATGGCATATGGATACACATATAGGAGCCCCTATTTGGAATTCATGGGGGTGAGGGAATGGACCAGGGAAGGGCTCCATTAACAAGTGGATATTTGAATCTAACAATTATTGGTGAGTAGGAATTAGCCAGGTGCCGGAGACCAGCTCCAGTCGAGTTTGCGGGTCCTTGAAAGAGGGATGAGGAAGCCAGCAAAAATAAAAAACACAGACAGAGACCTCAATGCATCAATATGCGCATTCTCTCTCTGCGGGCTGTCAGCGTGTTGCAGCTGGAGCACAGTAGAGCATGAGACAATGCCTTTTATTTAGATTTTTCTCTGCAGGGGGTTTTGGGGTATCATTTTTATTACATCAGCAAGCTTGAATTAATAATTTAAAAAGGACAGGGGAAGCCATTTTTTTTTCTTCGTTAGCACGTCTCAGGTGATTAGCTTGTGCTTCCTCCTTTTGGTATCAGGTTATCTATCAGATTGGGACCATCTTCTCATTGTCCTGAAGTTAATCTGTGACCTTTTCCAGTTGGCAAGCTGTGGTTAATATCTACCCTATTAACAGGGTGGGACTATTGCAGTTACAAAGTGATAGACAGTACTACCATATGACTTATGTCTATTGCTAAATGTTAAGTACAAATTTGCTAAAAGGAACAATGCTAACATTTAAATTCTAACAGGGGTGTAATGATCTTATGTTCTAATGGAATGAACCTACTGTTCATATGGAAAAAGAACAGTGGATATTTGAACAGTATTATCATGCACATCTTGAAGTTATGCATTCACTGTGGCCCTATAATCATGATCTAAATGTTAAAGTGTCCTTGTGCACAGCACCATCCCTCACAAAACCAGTTACATTTGCCTCTTAGGTCTAATTTTGCAGGTTTAATAATTTTACAGCATATATTTTTATCCCAATGTCTAATTTTTAATGATTTATTTAAAACTGGATACCACCAATTAAAGGGGGTTCTACAGTTTAGTTCCCATATACTTAATTTGTCCCAATCATATAATTTCTCATTAATGCCAACCATTCTCTTGCCATTAATATAACCTCCAGTAAATGATGTTTGCCAACTTACATTAGGCTGCAGCTCATATTGAGTCATGAGCAGTGCTTTTGGAACATATGTTGGTGTGGTCAATTTATCATAAGGGGATAATTTTGAATTGTCCAATTTACTCAGATCCTGTGTGGGAATGTTTAGTCCAATGACCGTATAATTATTTGTGTTATTTTTATAATCTTTTGGGAATTCAGAGAACTGCCACGCTAACCAAAATATCGAAAGAGAAGGCAAAAGCCATGAAGCCGAGGCAGAAACCCTTATGGTTGTAGCAAGTGCTCGTAGCTGTGGCCTTACCAGCAGCTCTCCATCCAGCGGCCTTGCCAACTTGGAGAGGGCAGCCCAAGCTGACTCCTTTAGGATCCTGCCATGGCGTGGACCATGCCAGCCAGGCAAAGAGCAGTCATGTGAAGAGCAGTGGTGTGATTGTGTGTGTGTGTGTGTGAGTGTGCGTGTGTGTGTGTAGGGGAGGTGGATGTTGGTGAGGAGAGTGGGTTAGAGAAGTGATTTCAGGCAGAGAGAGTTGAAGTCTTGAAATCCTAGAGGCAAAAAAGACAGTATTTACACACTGAGGGATCTGAGGCAATGTAAAGTCAAAGAGATTGAGGTAGGGAGTGATGTGAGATGTGACCAGAGAAACAGAATAGTGTAGGGTTCAGTAAAGGGCCTTGTAGGCAAGCAAGCATTTTTTATGTTGTATGTCTCAGTTCATTAGTGGAATGTGCAATCAATATAATGGGTTACCACCAGTATTCAAAAAAATGAAATAGAAAATATCAGAATGCATATAGGAAGGATAAATGCTGTTTTGTAAAACTTCGTATAATTGTGTGTGTGTGTGTGTGTGTGTTAATTACATTTCTAACTGAAGGTCACAGTTATAAATATTTGAGAAGCTCTTGTAAGCCCTAATGGAAGCTTGGGTTTTATTATGAAGACTGAGAAGTCTCCAGAAGGTTTTAAAATGGGAGTGTCTTCATTAATGTGTACTTTAGAAAGGTCATGCTAGTAGCAGTGTGCAAAATATATCAGGGGGTACAAATGTGGATTGGGCAGACTAAGGATTGGGCAGACTAGCTAGAAACTATAATAGTAAAGCAAGAGGAAATTGATAAATGCCTGAGTTAAGGTACAAGCTGGGAGGATGGAAAGAAGTATGCAGATTGTAGGTACGTTGTAGATTTGACTGAAGGTGACTGATTGTAGAAAGGGAAGGTAAAAGGAGGGAGAAGTCTATGGGTGAATTTCTTCCAATCAGTTTTAACATGTTAGAAGTGATTTGATTTTCAGAATTCTGGTGGAGCTGGTTAGGGTCTTTTACATTTGTCTTAATTCCCAGAGAGAAATTTGGTCTAAATGTATTGGGTTGGGGGTCATCAGTGTATAAGTGGTAGATGAAATATGAAAGTGTTGAGAATAACTCTGAGAAGAAAGGTACAGTGTGAAAAGTAAGAGGGAAACAACACTACTGATGGAGTTTACAAAAAATCTAAGTCTTGGAAGAATGAGAAGGTAGGGCCTTAGTGAATTAGAAGGCAAACCAGAAAAGTATAGCAAGGAAGCTAAGGGAGGAGAGATGCGCAAACAGATGCTGTCAACGATGCCCAATGTTACAGGACATAATGTAAAATAAGGACTTAGGTAATGGTTGTGGAATAGTGAATTATTTGTGGTATTTGATAAGGTCTAGATTGAAAAGATCACGTTTATGCCAGAGAGGGATAAATGTAGGAGAGCAATTCCAAAAGAGAATTGAAATTAGTCTGGAAAGTGAAGTTTTATGGGGAGATACTCCTTTCAGCAAAGAAGTGGGTTTTTGCTGAGATACTTTAGATTTTAGGGAATTAAGTTGTTAGGATGGGAATGAGATTGGCTGTTGGAGGACAGGATGAGTTAGAAAAGAATCTCTTATTCTAGAACTAGAAAGTACCATGCAAATAATCTAACGCTAGTATTTATGAAATAATTGGTGGTATGGATATGCCGTGGAGTCCTTTCTAGAGTCAGTTCTTGAGATTGTTTTCCAACTTTGTTGTTTCCAGTAGACAATTAATTAAGTTGCACATATACCATTCCACTGCATAGATTCAGACAGGTAGAAGGATTTGATAATGCTTAGTACGTGTATGAAAGGAACTACAATTAGACTGTTAAATTTTAATTATAATTTGTTTTTATAAGATGTTTCTTTCTCCAAATGTTTAGAAAAAAATAAAGTACATCAAATTCTAATTAAAATATATGTATATATGCATATTTAATTATCTCATAGAGTGACTTTGCAAAGTTGTCCTGAGATACTTTTGAGTATCACAGCTCATGTGGTTGAACAAATTATTGAATTGTTAAACATGAGTACTGACAAAAAGTTGGAATGCATACGCTTTGGTTCTGTTTTGTTTGGAACATCAAAAATTGAACATGCACTTCTATACAATAATAGCCCACAACCCATAAATTGGGTAGCCATAATACAAGATGATTCCATTGGAGAAGAATTGGTAAGTTAATGGTACAAAAGAAGAATATCAGGTATTATGATTTGAAACACATTATTTTAACTCTAATAATAACCAACAAGCTGTTGAGTTATCCTAAATATGTCTTAACATGGGCAGATAGATTTGTTTTCATATGTATCCAAGGGAAACCTAAAAAAAGTCAGTACATTAATCTAATATTTGTGTTAACATATATTTGAAGTAAACCAGACAAGTGCTTCTTCTAGATGACTAATTGTGGGGATTTCTGTTCTTATCAATTTTTCAATCTTTCTTTAAATGTTATGATGTGCCTTGATCAAATTTATGTATACATGTTATGATAGCTTTTTCCTAGATTCGGAAATTTCAATATTGGTTTTATGACCTTCTCTAAAAATATTTTTGGTTTGTGTTTTGCCTTAATACTCATTTATTTCTGATTTTATATTACGGGGTACAAATATTCGACAAAGAACTGATATTGCTTTAAATAATTTCACCTTCATAAGTAAAATAAAGAATGTAGATATTACCACTTTTATCTCCTGTGTTCCTAATGAAGGGACTTTACTACGTTATCAAAAGATTGCAATTGTGTTTTGTTTCAGCCCAAAGTAAGCAAAAATTAATTCCATTGTAATGTTAAGCATTAATGGAAAGCATATTAACCACACTTCAATCAGATTGGTTTAAATATTGTCAAAGCAAAACCTGCCAGAAGACACAAATCAGATTTTTCTGTTATGGTTACAGACATATCTAACATGAATAATATCATTTCCAGTAATTCTAAATATTGTCCTAAATACTTCGTCTTAAATTAGCAATTTCTCCAGACTTTTTGGAAATGAGGTGGCAGAAGTGCAAGTTTTGGGTTGTTTTGTATTATAGCTCCAATCTGATTTGTTGTTCCTACAGGAATAGGTGCATGCAGTATGTTCTAGGTGCCTCCAAAGAGGATGCAGTTCTCCTAGCAGGGCAAAATCCTTGCTGACTGTCATGAGTATTAAACTTATAGCACCTGCTGGGATAAACCACACTTTGCTGAAATTCATGCAGACTTTTAGCACTTAGGCCAATATATAGTTTTTACAATTCCATGTACTTGGTTTTGTTATTTAATTTGTAAACAATTTTGGAAATGCTATTTTAAATATATAGTAGCAATTGCAGGGACACCTTGGTAGGTTGCAGTGTATGTCAGTGCCTGCTCCAATTGCAAGTATGTTTATACTTGTTTGTGAGAGGGTGATGTTCATTGTACTTCTTACTGTGGCAGTAGGGTTGCCTGGTGATATCAATTTCCTGTTGAAGACCAAGTTGTGTTTTAATTTAAGGAGGTTAGTAAATCAAGAATTTTTTTTTATTCGTGCAATCTCTTTATATAATTGCCTTATCAAAGATACTTTTATAAAGGAAGTTTTTTTGTGTGGATCTATAAAATTCTGTTTAATACACAATTTTTGAAATTCCAAATATTCTTTTTCATGGCACCATGTTAACTTCATTTGAGAGTCTAGCATGGACTCATATGTATGAATATGATTTGAAGCCTTAGTTAAATGTGTTTTGAACGCACGATTTCTATTGCTGTTTATTAATACATGTTAGCTTTTTGTGAATGTATTTGCGTATCCATTGCTAGAAGAGGTGACCTCTAGGTAAGGCTGGTAAAGATAGCCAATAAGAGGGCCTATGATGTAACCCACCTCTGTCTTTGGTCCTACTTCTATTCTTCCCATCCTTCCTTTCCTTTTCTCCTCTAACAAGATTAACTGTTACCAAACCTTGTTCTCCAAATTACTTGTCCACTAACATGAATGTGGCAGGCAATATGCACTTAGTTCACTGGGGGAGACAGATACATTAACAGAGGTTTTTGATTATACCCAAGGGTAAGATGGACTATTGTAAAGAATTGACCAGAGTTCTTAGCCAGCAATGGATTCTGCCTGGAAAGAAAATCCTTTACAGAGAAAGTGGCATTTGAGCTAGACCTTGATGACTTAGTATATTTAAATTACTCTTGTCTTGCAAATGCTGTCATGAGCTCGTTTTTCTGAGCTTTACACTCTGCAGCCTTCTTTTGGAAAATCTCTCTCTGTTCAGTAATTTTGGAAGATGGATCACAGTTATATTTTTATTTGTTAACGTTCATTTGCATGCATAGATTTAAAGATTGGGTTGATCTTTCCTTTTGAGAGAAGATAAAATTTATCACCTTTCCTTTTAAAATAACACATTGTGATTTTTTTACAGGCTGATGGTTGATGGTAAAAAGGATATTGAACCTTCACACAGGCAGGATTATGCTGTCTTTTTGAGATTTGAGTCCGTAGGAAATAAAGATGGATTTTTGAGAGATGATAATTATAAAACCATCAAAAGTAAATGTGAAACTAACAAAATCATTAAATGTTTTAGCAGTTTTGATAGTTTAGAAGTTTGCACAACACTGCTTGTACAGTTGATTTAATAAAAATATGTAATTGTTATAATTGTTAGAGAGAACAAAAATACAAACAGATTTAAGAGACCTTAAAGTGTCATCTGTGGCATGTTAAGAGTGAAGTCAACCCCACAGTCATTTACATAATAATTTTTCAGTTTAGAATTCAGATGACATCACAATTTTAAAATTACATTAAATAAACATGATGATCTAGAGTTTAAGGAATTAAAAACAAACTGAAATAAAACAATATTTGCATAGGTTTTCTCCTAGGAATTGGGATGGGAACAAATGACCCATTTCAATTTTACCAGACCTTCAGCTCTCTTAGAATCTATATAGAGAAACAGCCCAAGAACAAGACCTAGAGATCTAGTAATTAGGGTGTAGCACCCTGTTACAGGATACCGATAAGTGCATTTGTTTTGCAGTTCACATGTCAAGTTGCATTATACTTTTTACATTCTCAGGTAATATTGGGTTGGTGTGAGGAAAAAAATGAAAGAGGACTTGGAGTTCAGCTTGGCAGGACAGATCAGAGAGAAAATAAAGACCTAGGTAGGGTAGAAATCAATTTCAGAAAAATAAGCCATGCCAAGAAGGAGTTAGTCCATCCTGGATGCTTAGGCAAATCGAAAGACTAGAAGATTTACATGTCAGTACAAGTGATATTGAAAAGGTTTGGATGGGGCCGGCCCCATGGCGCACTCGGGAGAGTGCGGCGCTGGGAGGGCAGCGATGCTCCCACCATGGGTTCGGATCCTATAAAGGGATGGCCGGTGCAATCACTGGCTGAGTGTGGTGTGGGCGACACCACACCAAAGGGTTGCGATCCCCTTACCAGTCACGAAAAAAAAAAAAAAAAAAAAAAAAAAAAAAGAAAGAAAAGGATTGGATGTAACTGTGTTCCTAGGACATAAATGTATTACTGTTACTACTTACATTATGGTTTGTGATACTGAGCTATGTCTGCTGATCATAGACAGAACATTTGTGTGAAGCTTGCAGATTAACCTAATTTTGAATAGTTAGAGACAGAGATGCTAGGTTTGCCTTAAAGGTAATTCAGAGTCTAGTATTGACTAGTAAGAGCATTAGTCAAGAAATAAAAACTCTTTGAGGAGGTTCTCGTTACACTGCTTTCTCTGCAAAACTGTTCTTTCACACAATTAGAGCCTATAATCCATAGTTTCTATCTTATTTCTAGTGTCTCAAAAACTTCATGTTTATATTTTTGCCCAGTGTATATTCTATTGTCCATTATTTTAATCCCTAATTTCCATGTACGCTTAAATCTCTTGGCACATCTCCCATAGTGACTGTGTGGAAAAACCTCTAACCATATTAAATTCAACTTTTAGTCTACTCTGGTTCTGCATGTGAAAAGCTGATTGTACTTGAGAAAAATAAAAAGTCATGCTGAAAGGTTTCACTTTATTTTTATAACCCCTAACTCCAAGTGGGTTCTTTAAGATTTTTGACATTCCTACTACATTCCCTCATTCATTTCATTTCCCGTAATCTGAGATGATGATCATACACTTTTTATTTTCCCCTCAAGCCTCCAATCCTTCCTCTCAGGACTGCTTTGGCTATTCAGGGTCTTTTTCTGTTTCATATGAATGTTAGCATTGTATTTTCTATTTCTGTGAAGAATGTCATTGGTATTTTGATGGGGATTGCATTGAATCTGTAGATTGCTTTGGGTAGTATGGACATTTTCACAATGTTAATTCTTCCAGTCCAAGAGCACAGTGTGTCTTTGCACCTTTTTTGTGTCCTCTTCAATTATTTTCAATAGTGCTTTGTAGTTCTCATTGTAGAGATCTTTCACCTCCTTGGTGAAATTGATTCCTTGGTATTTTGTTTTCTTGGCACCTATTGTAATTAGTCTTGCTTTATTGATTTCATTTTCTGCTAGTTTGATACAGAAGTATAAAATGCTACTGAATTTGGGGTGTTGATTTTGTATCCTGCAACATTACTGAAATTGTTAATCAGCTCTGATAGAGTCATTAGGTTTTTCTACATATAAGATCATATTGTCTACAAACAGGCACAGTTAGACTTCATCTGTTCGAATGTGGATGCTCTTTATTTCTTTCTCTTGACTTATTGCTCTGGCTAGTACTTCCAATTCTGTGTTAAATAGGAGGAGTGAGAGTAGGCATCCTTTACTTTTTCCTGTACTTAAGGGAAAAGATTTTAGCTTTTTCCCATTCACGATGGCATTTATTTGTCATATATGACTTTTATTGTGTTGAGATGATTTCCTTCTATACTTAATTGGCTGAGAGACATTATCATAAAGGATTTTTGAATTTTGTTGAAAGATTTTCTGCATCTATTGAGATAATCATGTGTTGTTTTTTTTTTTTTTGTCCTTGGTTGCATTGATGTGGTGCATTGCATTTATTATCTTTTGTATGTTGAACCATATTTGCATACCTGGGACAAGCCCCACTTGATCATGGTGTATAGTTTAATTTTTTTGATGTGTTGCTGTATTTTGATTGCTAATATTTTGCTGAGGATTTTGGTGTCTATCTTCATTAAGGATATTGGCCTGTAATTTTTTCTTTTTGTTGTATCTTTGTCAGGTTTTGATCTCCGGGTGATGCCGGCCTCATAGAATGAGTTTGGGAGAATGGGTTCTGTTTCAATTTTTTGGAATAGTTTAAGGAGAATTGGCATTAATTCCTCTTTAATCGTTTGACAGTATTTGGGTGGAAAGCCATCTGGTCCTCGGCTTTTCTTTGTTGGAAGATTGCTGATTACTTCATCAGTCTCCTTGCTTGTTATTGGTCTGTATAGGTTTTATATTTCTTCTTGGTTTAGACTGGGTGGTATTTGTGTGTCCAGAAATTTATACATTTCCTCCAGGTTTTTGCATTTGTTGGTGTACTTTTGTTTATAATAGTCTCTAATGATTCTTTGTATTTCTATGGTATTGTTTGTTATGTCTTCCTTTTCATTTCTAATTTGTGTTATTTGGATCTTCTCCTTTTTTTTTTTTTTTTTTTTTGGTTAACCTAACTAATGGTTTGTCTATTTGAATTATCTTTTAAAAAACCCATCTTTGGGCCGGCCCGGAGGCGCACTGGAGAGTGCACCGCTTGGGAGCACGGTGGCACTCCCGCCGAGGGTTTGGATCCCATGTGGATACCGGTTCCCGCTCACTGGCTGAGCGCGGTGCGGGCGCAACACCGAGGGTTGCGATCCCGTTGCTGGTCAGTAAAAAAGACAAAAAGGAAAAAAAAAAAAAAAACTTTTTGTTTCATTGATCTTTAATACTATTTCTTGGGTCCCTATTTCATTTAGTTCTGCTCTCCAATGCTAAATTTTAATTATATAATCAAATGTAGCTGGAAAGAAGACTGGGAAACGTCTCTTCTCCATATACACATCTAAATAAAATTAGGGTTTTGTTAGTGAGGAAGAAATTGCAAATGGTTATTGGGGTGGGCAACCAAGTCTTCACCATGAGTAGCTGCCAAAGAGAACTTTATCTCCACATAAAGCACAAAGTAATCTAATATTTTGTCAATTTGGCTTTATCAGCATAGTGAGGCCTTTTGATCTTTAAATAGGTTTTAATAGAATAATACTTAGCAATGTTATACATCCCATTTTTCCTAAAGCTCTCTTTAATGTTTGTCTTGAAGAGATTTCTATAAACAAATAAAATTTAAAAGCAGACATTTTAAATTATGAGCAGAATGAACATCTGTTGTAGTACCCCTATGATTAATTTTCTAATGCAAACTGCCATATAATAATTAATATATTTTCTCAGTAAAACCCCACTGTGGTCTCTAGGTTTAATCAACAAGGTAACACAGGAGAACAAGAATAGGTACAAAAAAAAAAAGAAAATCACCAAAAGCTAACTGGATTTTTTTAGAGGTTTTTTTTTTTTTTTTTCTTTTTCTTTTACAGATGTTCTTGTTTTCCTCTTTTTAGGCATAAGGTAATATTGTACCTCTGCACTAATGTTGAAGATATGTATTAGTATATAATTTATTTTGCCAAAGGCCTGTGAGGAGAAGTGCTGTATTTCATTTCTGAGTGATAGTTTAAGAAATGGTGAGGAGTTTTCCAATTTCCCTTCTCTTGCCGCAATTATTATAGAGACCCATATAGAAATGTAGCCTTGTTCATCAAGAATCTCTGAGTGCAGTCTCCACCAGGATGGATCTGAAGAGCAAGCAAGAAATAAACTATTGCACTTATCCACAGAGATATGGGTTGGTTTGTTAGTGCAGCATAACCTAGCCTATACTAACTGATATAATTCCTCAGATTTACTTCAGCTAATAGTTCCCTAAATAATAAAATTTTCTCTCCTTATGTGATTGGTAAAGTGATGAAATCTTTCAGTTGGCATTTAAAAAATTGTAGTATGTCCTGTTTTTTTAAAAAATTCCGCTATCTGTAAGCTGTTGTTTGTAAGCAACCAGATGCATATAAACAACACCTTTGAAACTACATGGAAGATAAAACTTTATATTCATCACACATTTTTTTTGTGGGAACATGATTCATAAGCATAACAAGAGCAGTTAAGATGTTCTTATGCTAATTAAATGCAAAGGAATTATCAATGCAAGGCTCATAACAGGAAACTATTTTAGCCACATTTTGAAACTGATCTGTTGAACAGCTGTGCTTAGAAATGAGCACTTCGTCAATTTTCTCACAGTGATTGACTTAGTTTTTTTTTTTTTCTCTACAATGTGGAGTTTACTTATTCAACAAAATCTTATAAAGAGGCACCTTGAGCACTGTTCTTAGAAATGGAGGATATGGGGGAAAAATCACATATCTGGCCCTTAAGGAGCCAACCATGAAGTAGAGAAGAAAACAAAAATTTCCACAAATAGAGGTAGTTTTACCAGGCAGAACACATTCACTATTATATGTTATAGAAGAAAAAATACTCTGTGATCTGATTGCTTAGGAATATCACTATCTAGATATAACAGAGAACATCATGAAAGAAGATAAGATAATTAAGGAGAATTATGAGGTACTAAGCCTTTTATTTTCCACATAAGCACTATATTCTGTTGTTTAACCTTATATACAAATTGAGATATGAAGCATATGAGTAAAATCTTAATGATCACAATCTTTCCTACAAGCATTAAAAAGTGTGGGAAGAAGGAATTGTAGAAGCAAAAGGTAGGAACAGGCAAGAAGAAATATAAGACATACATTTATACATAAGGACTGTAGGATCAGCATAGGAGTATATGAACTAAGTTTGAAAAGTTGTGAAGTGTTCATCATTCTGCTTTGTGATTTTTTTTCACAGACTTACACTTCATCATGGACCCTATGCTCTATGAGCTTGGGATATTTGTCATTCATCTCTGTATCTCAGAACAGTTTTGCTTAGCATGGCCATCAAAATGAAAGAAGGCCATGGTACACATATTTTTCTGGGTTAATATTCTTGCTAAAATCCCAACAAAAGCTGGATTCTTTAAGTGCCATGATTTTAAAACATTTCTTTCTATGACACTGAATAATTAGTAACAATAAGAATTAGGGAAATGTCTTAGTCTGTTAGGGCTGTTATAACAAAAATACCATAGATTGGGTGGCTTAAACAACAGACATTTATATCTCACAGTTTTGGAGGTTGGAGAGTGCAAGATCAAGGCACTGGCAGATTTAGTGTCTGATGATGATCTGCTTCGTGGTTCACAGGCAGAAGTCTTGCTGTGTCCGCATATGGGAGAAAGGATAGAGAGAGCTCTTTAGGGCCCCTTTTATATGGGCACTAATCCTATTCTTGAGTGCTCCACTCTCATGAACTATTTATCTCCAAAAGGTCCCACCTGTAATCTCATCACATTGGGAATTAAGTTTCAGCATTTGATTGGAAGGGGTGAGGAGAGCAAAAAACATTCAGTCTATAGCAGCAAGTCTCTAAGGAAAACAGAGAGAATGAAAGGCCATACACACACACACACACATGCACACACACACACACACACACACACGTATATATTAAAATAAGAGTAGAAATCTCCCATGATTCTGTTGCTATAGATTAGGATTTTTCAACTTTTGAAAATGTTATCAGGCTTTCTGACAATCTCCTGAATCCTATTGTACTTTGTAGAATAGTATTTCTAAATATATAAAATAAGATGCAAGAGTTAAAGAATATCTCAATCTGCTAGGGCCGCCATAACAAAATACCACAGACTAAGTATCTTAAACAACAGAAATTTATTTCTCACATTTTTGGAGCCTGGGGAGTTCACCATCAGGCTGCCACCAGGTAGGTTCCATTCTTTTCTTGGCTTATAGATAGCTGCCATTTCACTGTGTCGTCACGTGACCTGTTCTTCATGTGAGCATGGGGGGAGAGAGAGAGAGAAAAAATTCCCTCGTCTAATAAGGATACTAGTCTTATAGGATCAGAGCCACATTATTATGACCTCATTTAATCTTAATTACCTCCTTATATTCCTTATCTGAAAACACAGTCACATTGTGGGTTTGGAGTTCAACATATGAATTTGGGGGAAAACAATTCAGTCCATGGAACAGAAGAAACTAATATTTCTATAAATTATCAGAATATCTTAAATGAGTAATAAAGTAAAATATGTACTTCTTCATAAACACAATGCATAATAAAATTAATGGAGCTAATACCTACCATACTTTAAAAGTAGGGATGAACACACATTGTATGTGAAGATATGTGTAAGAACTTAAATAAATTATTTGGTGACCAGGTCATAGAAACAGCTAATACTATTGTATTTTGATTTAAATTGCTGTTAAAAGTTAGTGGAAGTCAAGATGGAATTTATTCCCCATTCTAATGCACAGATCCACTTTGTCCTTGGACGTCAGGTTAGAGTCCCTTGCTTTACATTCTTCTCAACTGCCAAAGGGCCAAAGTGGTACAAAAATCAGCAAGGATCCCATTTTTAATTCCTCCATATGGCCACTAGGTCTTTTTCTGAGGAACTCCTGGACATATGGAGGATAGAATGGACAAATTTGACTCTGTCATATTCCTTTCCATGATGCATAAAAACTATACTTGAGCCAGATATTTTGCTATTTGGTTTAGATACAGCCCAAAATATCTGCCCTGGAGGAACTTCACAAGGGCTTATGATAAAGCTATTCACAACCCTGTTGGTAAGGGCTTCCCTCATTTCTGAAGTATATAGCCTTGCTATAGTATAGTATTCTTGCCTGGCAGTTGTTTTCTTTTAGTATTTCGAATATGTCATCCCATTTTCTTCTGGCCTCTAGAGTTTCTGTTGAGAAGTCTGCTGTTATTCTGATAGGGGCTCCCTTATAGGTGACTTAAAGCTTTTTTTGAGCTTCTTTTAAGACTCTCTATGTGTTTTAAGTTTGCCAGTTTGACTACAATATGTGTTGGAGTGGATCTTTTCGGGTTGAATCTTTGGGGATCTTTGAGCCTCCTGAATCTGAAGGTCTGTGTCTTTCCCTACACTGGGGAAGTTTTCTGTTATTTTGTTGAAAAAGCTTTCTGTGCCTTTTTCTTTCTTTTCCCCTTCTGGAACACCCATTATCTGAATATCTGTTTGCTTAAGTTTGTTTATTAGCTTTCTTAGATATTCTTCATTTTTT